GCGATGGGGCCGCGGGAGGCGAAGCAGCTGCCAAGCCGCGGCGTTGCCGCCAGGGCGGCGCGCGCGCGCAAGTGTAGTCCGACGCGGCGATGAGCGCCGGTCGGCGGTGAAGGGTTCGGGCGGCGCGCGCGCAGACGCGCGCGCGCGTCGGTCCCTGCTCATCGTCGCGACGGGCTCATCGAGGTCGTCAGTTCCAGACGCCCGCCGGGGGGTCTCGCCCATCGTGCTTTCTGCCGTCCCATCGGGGCGCCTGCCTGAGAGGAGCGCGCTGCGCGCTGCCCAGCCCGGCGGCCACTTCTGGCCCCCCGTCGCCCCCCCCCTGCGACCCCCCCCCTGTCGACCCCCCCCTTACGACCCGGCCCCCCCCTCGCGACCGCCCCCCCCTCGCGACCCCGACCCTCGCGACCCCCCCGGCCGCTCGCGCTGAACTGGCCCCCCTCGCGCCCCCCCCTCGCGCGCGGCCCCAGTCGGCCCGGCGGGGCGAGATGAGCTTGAGCCAGAGGCAAAGGGCGCGCTCTCTTCCCCCCCCGCGCGCACGCGCGCGCGCGTGCCCCCCCCACCCCCCCCCACCCCGCACACGCACAATCACACGCATACGCACGCAATCACACTCGCAATCGCACATAATTACACACATTCACACACACACACCCATACACCCACGCACGCACGCACGCACGAACGCACGCACGCACGCACGCACGCACGCCGCGGGCGGTTTGCGCGTCTGGTGGCTTGCACGTCGGTGAGTTCAGAACAGATTGTGAGGATGTCGCAAGCGAGGCGCTGGTTTCAGTACTCCCACGAGGAGCCGCTAGGAGAAGGACGTTTGCCCGTCCGTTACCCAGAATGTGGTGTCTCAGGCGGTTTGCCTGTTTGGTGGCTTGGACGCCTGTGCTTTCAAAACAGACTGCGAGGATGTCTCGAGCGAGGCGTCGGCTTCAGCACCCCAGGCGGCCTGATCGTGGGGATGGGTCGAGGGAAGCGTTTAGTTTTCCACCTGCGGCCTTCGTCCTTTAAGAGCCCCATGATCGTTTCTATGTGGGGAAAAATGCGGCCGCCATGGCGGAGGAGGTAGTACGGAGGAGGGAGGAGAAGGACGCAGGAAGTGGGAGAAGGGAGGAGGGAGGAAGAGAAGGGATGGGGGTGCGGCGAGTTGTTAGAGGAAAGAGAGGGGAGGGGGCCTGCTCACCGCCTGTTTGTCTGTGAGTTGTCGTCGTCGCCGTCCCTCATCGTAGCCGCCGCCGCCGCCGCCGCCGCCGCCGCCGCCGCCGTCGTCGTCGTCGTCGTCGTCGTCGTCGTCGTCGTCGTCGTCGTCGTCGTCGTCGTCGTCGTGGTCGCCAGCATCGTCGCCACATTCGGCGTCCATTTGGAATCGCTCTCACGCCCTGGCACTCACGGCCACACAATCCGGGACGCACATATGGGGACGTCATCGTCGAATTACTCGCCGCGGAGGCCCCAAAAAATTATGTGCAGTTCTTGGCGCTTCCGTGTTTTTGGGTGTCTGATTTTGGGAGAGGTAAGCTTGCGGCGACTGAGCGCTCCACAGTGGCTTCCCCTTGTGCCTGCTACATCGCGATGAGCAAGGAACCCCGAAAAAGGAGAGGGGTCGTGGGTGCTTCTGCCAGCGTTTCGCCCAAGGGGTCCCGCGATGTGGGCGTGAACTGGGAAGTGAAGCGCCTCCTGGCGCCCCCCCCCCCCATGGGATGCCTAAGTGCCATGCCTGCAACAACGCGGTTACCATTCGGCTATCAACGGAGAGGGGTCGGGGGCGTCAGAAATTGCGAACCGCTCGATGCATTACCACCATGTAGGTGCAGTCGCGCACGTGCAGCACCAATTGGTGACTCCTCCTTGCGGTGCCCAAATGCCATGCTTGCTATATCGCGTTGGTCACGAGGCTCTCAAAAGAGAGGGTCTGGGGTGCCACAGTAAGCAGAACGCTCGTGACATCACCACGGTCTCGGCGCGAGTGGACAAATGTCCCCACCCCTGGCGACTCCTCCTTGGGGTGCTCAAGCGCCACGCCTGTTACATAGCGACGAGCATGCGTTTCTGGAAAGGGAGAGAGCTGACCAATCCATATGGCCAGCCGCCTGAAACATCTCAACAACCTGGGCGCGAACGGGAAAATGTCTCCACCCTTGGCGGCTCCCCCTTGGATTGCTCAACAACCACGTCTGCTTCATCACGATGAATTTGGGGCTTTGAGAAGAGAAGTTGGGTCAACCAACAACGCACACCGACAAATCCATCCCCACAGTCTGGGCGCGAACAGACAAATGTCCCCACCCCTGGCGGCTCCCCAGCGGGGTGCACACATGCCACACCTGCAGCATCGTGATGCGCATGGGGCTCCGAAGGGAAAGAAATCAGGAGGGAAAGAAACACACAGACACAATTACTCGTCCATTCCCCCGAAAATGTGGGAACATATGGGAAGTGGGGGGGAAGACAAAAACACAGAAAATATGGGAAACTATGGGAAGGTGTGGGGGAAGACAAAAACCCAGAAAACATGGGAAACTATGGGGAGTCTCTTTATTCGTGTGTATTTATTTCTGTGTCCCAGGGCCCCTTCAAGAAAGCTGATCCGTCACACTGGCAGGCTGCCCGAAGCATCTCGGCAGCCTGGGCGCGACCGGGCACCATATCCCCATCCCTGGCAGCTCCTCCTGGGAGTGCTCAACAAAATCACGCCTGCCAGATCGTGGTGCGCATATGTCAGGAGGGGAAAAAACACACAGACACAATTCATCGGCGATTCCCAGAGAATATAGGAAAATATGGGAAGTGGGGGGGAAGACAAACACCCAGGAAATATAGGAAAATATGGGTGACATTTTTATTTGTGTGTATTTATTTGTGTGTCCCAGTTCCCCTTCAATATGGCGCTGACCAGAGAGAAGTCGAACCAGCGGAGGCTCCCCACATGCTGGGCGCGGACGGGCAAACGGACCGCCTGAGACATCCCCACACGTTCTGGGCGCGAGCGGCCAACTGTCCCCACCCCTGGTGGTTCCTCCTCGGGGTGCTCATGTGGCACGCCTGCTACATCGCGATGGGCATGGGGCTTTTGAGAGAGGAGTCTGATCAACTAAGCAGGCACACCACTTGAGACATCCCCGCGGTCCGGGCATGACCGGGCAAATGTCCTCACCACTGCGGCTTCATTTTGGGGCGCTCAAGTGCCACGCCTGGTGCATCTCGATGAGCATGGAGCTCGGAAAAGAGAGAAGAAGTCTGATCAACGAAACAGGCAAACTGGCGGAGACATCCCCACAGTCTGGGCGCGAACGATCAAATGCCCGCACCGCTGGCGGCTCGTCCAGGAAGTGTTCAAATGCCACGCCTGCTACACGGCGATGGGCACGGCGCTTTTCAACGAGAGAAGTCTGATCAACCAACAGGCAAACTACCTGAGACGTCTTCACAATCGAAAGAGCGTGTTCTACCGCTGCTGGCGGAAAACCGGGGGGGGTCACTACCGGTTCGAACCCCTCCCCCCCCCCCCCTCCGGAAAACCGGGGGGGGTCACTACCGGTTCGAACCCCTCCCCCCCCCCCAGTTCATCATGAAAAGGGGGGGGGGTCACTACCGGTTCGAACCCCCCCCCCCTCGAAAACCGAGTGGGGGTGCGGACAGTGGTGGGGACGGTGTTGGTGGGGACAGTGGTGAGGGGACAGCGGGACAGTGGTGGGGACAGTGGGGGGACAGTGGGACAGTGGTGGGGACGGTAGTGGTGGGGACAGTGGTGGGGACAATGGTGGGAACAGGGGGGACAGTGGACAGTGGTGGGAACGGTGGTGGTGGGGACAGTGGTGTGGGGACAGTGGGAATGAGGTGGAAACACTGGGACAGTGGAGGGTACAATGGTGGTGGAGACACTGGTAAAGGCGGTGGCGAGGACGGCGGTGGGACAATGGGACAGAGGTACAGTGGGGACAGTGGTGGGGACAGTGGGGACAGTGGTGGAAACAGTGGGACAGCTCAGTGGGACAGCGGAGGAGTCAGTGGGACAGTGGGGACAATGGGGATAGGCAGTGGTTGGGTCCGTGGAGACAGTGGGGAGAGTGGAACCGTGGTGGGAACAGTTGTGGGAACAGTGGGGACAGTGCGACAGTGGTGGGGGCATTGGTGGGGACAATAGGGACGGTGGTGGAACCAGTGGGGACAGTGGTGGTGAGGACAGTGGTGCTGGGAACAACAGTGGGGGATGTGATGCGAGCGGTGGTAGGGACCGGGAGTCGTTTGCTGGCGGTGCGTGGGGGGGGGGGGAACGGTAGTGACCCCTCCGGTTTTCGAAGGGGGGGGGGGGGGTAGTGACCCCCCCCGGTTTTCGAGGGGGGGGGGGGGTTAGGACCGGGTAGTGACCCCCGGTTTTCCGGAGGGGGGGGGGGGGGAGGGGTTGGGGGGGGGGAGGGGCAGGGGGAGGGGGGGTTCCGGCAGGGGGGGGGGGGAGGAGACCCCCGGGTTCCGGAGGAAAAGGTTGGCAATTTTCCACAGTAAAGCGGCGGTGGATGACGCTCTCTCTCTCTCTCTCTCTCTCACAATCTGAGTGAGAACGGGTACACGTCCCCACCTCTGGCGGCTCCCCCTTGGGGTGCTTTAGCGCGACGCCTGCTACATACCTATGAGCATGGGACTTTGAAAAGAGATAAGTCTGAGTAAATCTGAGTGTGGGTGGTTCCCGGTATGAGCGATAGGAGCGTTGCGAGTCTGAGTGTGAGCGTATCTGAGTGTGAGTGAGTTTGAATGTATGATCTGAGCGTGGCAGGAGAGAGAGAGAGAGAGAGCTAGAGAGAGAGAGAGAGAGAGAAAGAGACAGAAAGAAAAAGAGAGAGAGAGAGAGACATCGATTGTTTGGAACACGGACTGGGAGAACAACATGGAAGCGGGAGGTAGTGAGGAGGCGGAGGCTCCCTGGAGAAAACAGGAGCTCAGTGTTCCAGAAGGCGGTCGCACAGATCCCAAATGAAGAGCGCCGGCGTGCGCAG